CAACTTTTTAAATTTGTTCATGTGTACACATTAAAGAGAGTTGTGGCTTTTTTAGGTCCGGCAATCAAAACAAAATGTCCGAAAAGAGTTTAAATTAAAACGAAAATTAAAAACCAACCACAACATAAAATTCTAATAGTTTACAATAAACAAAAACAGCACTTCTTTCTGTATGCCTTCGATTTTTATCCTATTGCATAAGGCAAAAATACGGCATAATGTCCTCAACATTTCAAAAAACATTTTTCCGAAAATAGGTCAGTTCATGAAAGTTATAATCTAATAATTGGCCCGAAACCAAGGTAAGCGAAGCCTCCTAAGACTGTTAAGTAGGCTTCACCTAACAACCTGTGGCGATTTGTCTAAATGGATTTCCACAAACTTATTTCGGGCTTTTCTCCGTTGATTTCTACTACATCTACATCAATTTTACAGTCCATTTTGTGTCGGAGGAAATACGATTTAAAGAATATTTGTATTCATTCGAATACATATTTTTAAAAGAAATTCATAAGTTATAAATATAATTTATAGTGCAAACACACAGCTTTTGTGATTGCAAATAAACCTCCTATTAACAGGTGTATTCTTTTATAATATCTTTTAATTAATTAATAATTATCTATATTGTAGAATTAGGGTTTAAAATTAGTCTTTAACATTGTTAAAACCTATGTATGTACATTTATAAATACCAACTCTGTAATAATCATGTTCGTAATGTTTAAATTATGCATTATTACGCGATTGCCAACTCTCCGTAATCTATAAATTCAAGCTCTCCTGGAATTTTTGGGTAGCAAAATTCTACTGCTGCCCTTATAATTTTCGTGGAAATTCGCTGTGCTGATTAAGAAATGTATGTATGATACGCATTTCACAAGGCGGCGTAAGGTGAGGGGCCTGGGCAGGACAACCCAACCTCCCGGGAGGACTATGAGGCTTGGGTGCATCGCCGGAGTCACAGAAAAGAGCCGAGGCAGCGTAGGTGTTTTTGTGTATTTGTATTTTGTGTTTGTTCGGAAGACGAAGTGAGACCATCCGAAAGAGGGCGTTTAATGGTGGAGGGTGGAGGCTTGGGCGTGGGTGGTTATTTGGCGGCCATAGATAGGAAACCCAAATGGGTGGGTGAGCTACTGTCGGATTTGTTTGCCTTTCGAGCACTCGTTTTTTGTATACCCTGCCCACTCCCTTACAAGTTCAAGGCCTGGTATTGACATTGTGATTAGCACCTGGGCTTTAACAACACGCAGCTTGAGGAAAGTAATTTAAACCACAGAGTTGTATAAAAAGTTAAGTTAACAATACTAGAAAGAAAACTGTTTTCAGTAAACAAAAAATTCGAGGCTATAAATAATATAAAATCTTAGCCGAAGAGCACATTTAAAAAACACCACACCACGCCCTTCTAAAAGGCGTAGAAATAAATGATTACAAGATCAAGCTTTTTAATTTGAAGACAATTATTTCTGGATCTGTATTCAAATAAAATCCATTCAACATTTTTGTATACAAATTTGGAAGAGTATATACGCTTTAGCGTACGTAAAAATATTTTATAGCGACGGTTGTTGCACTTTAGTCACAATTTTGGGGTTGAAATCGGTGCACACTTGGTCTTCAAATTTAGAGTTTTTTCGCTAATTTTCGCTAATTTTTAATGGCTGATTAGCAAGTAGCCTACGAAAAGGCGGCGCACGCACCTAAAAACTCGCTTGTGAAACGTCCAAAAGAATAAATAAATAAAACAAGATAAAGGCAGTCATGATATTAAGGCCAAAAGGGGTTGCGTTAATGGCCATTGTTGGCGCATGCCGGGGGTTATTGGGAGTGCAGGGTTTTGGGCGACGGGCTCGGGTTGGGGTCAGCCCCCGGAAAACGCATTTTCGTTGGGGTCACGTATCGAATTCGAGTGGGTGGCTAAAAAGCCAAAAATTCTACCCAATGGGGCTTGTTTTTTTTGTATTTTTTTGTTGGGAGGCAGTGGGAGTGGTCGAAGGCGCTGTGTGTATGTATACACGAATGCAAAGCGCGCCTCTCTGCGTGTGCCACATTGTCATAACTCCACACTCCACTCCAATACCCTCTAGATCCCTACTTCTGACTTGTATATTTTCGTGCACACAGAGGAATACAGTGTCAGTGGGTTTGGGTGTGTGGCAGCTTTTCAGAGGTAGACAGCAAGTCTACCTACAGCCGAAGCAAGAGTATCACATTCACATTGACGCCGGCGCCGCCTAGCAGCAACCAAAAACAGCAACAACCTCATCATGGGTACAGTGCAGCTCAACTCATTACAGTCGAACATCATTAGCGAAAACCTTTGCACTTTAAATAATCAAATGTGGCTTGACAATATATATTTGATCTTATAAAACAATTGTTTCGTACATTACATAAACGGTCTTGGATCTGGCATACAATTTTTGTAAATTTTAAACAGTACCACAAACATAATAACAAACATTTTGCAGATCCATTTTTATAAGTATGAATAGACACATCCAACCGTAATATAAATTATTGGTTTAAAAACTAACTACGGAGTCCAAGTTTAAAGATTAATTTAAAAACCTGGATGATCCAGAAAAAACGTATAATAGCACTTGAGTGTTCCTTCAACTTTATTCTTTTATACCGTGGGTGTTAATGGTTCTAGTTATGGAGGTTCCACTGCCTATTTATGTGGATGCGACGGATGCTGGAAAAAATCCGTTCTCGCTCCGCCTCTACAGTTGTTGTCATTGCGGTTCTTGTTGCTCTGGATGTTTGACTAGGGTTGGGGGAGATGGGGAGTTCGGTGGGTGGCATGGGTTTTCACATGCCTTGACACATAGCACACAGTACCCCCTTTTGAGAATTTTGGTGTTTTGTGGTGGAAATATGCTTACCAGATCTGCTCGTCAGGTTAACTTTTAACTTGTTTGAAGGCCACGACAACGACAACGACTCTTCGCAACATAACCTCACTTTGTTGACAAAAAAATATACATACTTAAGGGTAACACAAGATATTAAGCGGTTTTCAGAGGGGCTATACTCACGTTGATGTTTGTCGGCCAACTGCACAAGCGGATTTGGCAAATCCCGGCGACGGTAGAAGCACATGACCTTCGCCTCCACATTGCCGGTTTGGTTTTTGTTAAGCTCCTCGATGCGTCGTATTAAGAAGGGACTATTCGGCGTAGTAGCCTCAACGTAAACATAGTCTGAAAAATTGAGAATTTAAGGTTGGACATGGTGAGAGGGGGAACTCCGTTCATACGTCACAGGTACACGCACACACAGACACGGGCCGCATAATTGCGGCCACTAACACTGGCAAAAGCGCAATTAAATACAAATGGGGCTATCCATCCATAAACTACAACTGCAGCGGAACCTGTCGTTGACCATTACAGAAACATAAAAATCGTACATATACCGTGTGCATTTCTGTTAAATTTTTGGATGCAGAAAGATAGATAGATAGATAGATAGAGAGAGATGAAAAAGAAAGTGTGGAGGCAGCGAGAAAGCATAGTCGAAGGTGTGTGTCTGTGTGCGTGGCCAAGCAAAACTCGCTCATGGAGACAAAACGTTCTCAGACATCCAGCAGATAATTCGCCAAGTATATGCTATTATTATTTATTTTGATTCTGTTAATTGAACGCTTGCGTATCTGAGTTCATTTGCATTTCGAAAGAACACACACACACTCGCACTTGTATACACGAAAAGCAGGTGAAGACAACATAATAACGTCATCGTTTGAGTGCGAGCGGGATAACAGACAAAAAGTGCGTAAGAACCGAAGTGTGTGAAAGGGGGTGAGATAAAAGATGCTCAAAAAAGCTCATTAGCATAAGAAAACACAACAAAGCTGATGGGCCCACTCAAAACTGAGATACACTCTTTCACTCACACAAACATACTGATCTTGAGATCACAATTCGGCAAATGCAAATGCAATTCCCTTTCCCTGCCCTAGAATGTACACACACAAAGCAGTGCAAAAGCTAACACTTATCGGTTGGAACACGTCGAAAACACTTGCTGCAGCTCCGACACAAAAGTGGACCTAATCCCAGCGAATATTTAAAAAAATAGAAAAAGTTTCTCCCCTATGACAGAACTTTTATGAGATTGATAACACACACACACGTGTATGAAAGACTCCCACTCAAGGGTTTTCTGCAATTAAAATGCACTTTCGTTATTTCATTGGAGAGCCTCCTCAGACACAGCACACACGCACAGGCAGGTCACACACTCGCAAACACACGCACACTGCGAGACGGCGGCGCCGATAACGAAAGATGATAGAAAAGCGAGTACGGGAAAATTTTTCTCACCTCCGACTCGATACATATTTGTGGCCATTTTCACTACGCTTCCGCACCAAAACTTTCACATGTATAACACTTGGCACTCGCTTAGCACTGTTTTTCAATAGTTATGTTTCAAATTAGAGCACATTTATTAGCTGAAAAGTCGAGTTGTTATGATTGCATTTTTCACATAAGAAGACGCGTTTTTTTCGTCGCCATCTTAGAAACAACTCAACTCTAAAAAATACACGCACACACACACAACGCCGAGTAAACAGCTGCACCAGGGATGCATTTCACAGAACGATAGTTCGACTATCGATGGATCGATAAGTGGCGTTAAGTTCATTTTATAAGGTTTATATAAAGTTGAGTATATCTTAAAGATTAATACAAAAATAAATTATACTTATAATATAAATAAATATGGTTTTAGGTCATTTCTTAAACTATGTTTATGGCAAGTAATATCGTAATGTGCAAATAATTCATAGAAAGAAACAAAATTAGACGATTTTTGTTTGGAATTTGAGTTGTTTAAATATCTTTCCATGCAGCAGATTATTTGATCTGAGTAGATGTTTTGAACTACATTTTATAATACATTTTCATTTACATTAAATTCTCTCTTTTTTATTTTATTGTTAATTTGTTTTTAACAGTTTTACCAGACCCATACGATAGTATCGCATTAAAACTACCTTCACTGACCTGCTACGTTTCAAAATTCTTTAATACTTTGGCTATTGATTTCTACGTTTTTACGTCTTTAGAAATTGTATCCAAAGAATAAACTTTTAATATTTTGAATTAGAGGATTCCTTTCGCGGATTTGTGTTGTTTTGCGTGAGTTTTTTGGCCGTCACCAGCACGAAAGGTGTCACGACTAGCTGTCAAATCCGTGACGTGGCCTGGCCAACCGATTTTTCCAATTGGCAGAGGACTGAATTTAATTTTTCTCTTTTAAATAGTAAATAAGTGCTGCGGCGATGACCACCTACGAGGAGTTCATCCAGCAAAACGAGGACCGCGATGGGGTGCGTCTAACGTGGAATGTTTGGCCCTCTAGTCGCATTGACGCCAGTCGACTGGTGGTGCCCCTCGCTTGTCTTTACCAACCGCTAAAGGAGCGCCCTGATCTGCCGCCCATCCAATATGAGCCTGTCCTCTGCACCCGGAGCAACTGCAGAGCCATCTTGAACCCCCTGTGCCAGGTTGACTACCGGGCCAAGTTGTGGGTGTGTAACTTCTGTTTCCAGCGCAACCCGGTGAGTAATAGTGATCTTTAGACTCTCCCCAGTAATGGATAACACCCTGCCTTCCAGTTCCCCCCTCAGTATGCGGCCATATCGGAGCAGCACCAGCCGGCGGAATTGATTCCGGGATTCAGTACCATTGAGTACACTATTACCCGGGCTCCCACTATGCCGCCAGTATTTATTTTCCTGGTAGACACTTGTATGGACGAGGAGGAGCTGGATGCCCTGAAGGACTCACTGCAAATGTCGCTGAGTCTGCTGCCACCCAACGCACTTGTGGGCCTTATAACTTTCGGCAAGATGATACAAGTGCACGAGCTGGGCGCCGAAGGCTGTTCTAAGAGCTATGTGTTCCGGGGCACCAAGGATCTGACCGCCAAGCAGGTTCAGGACATGCTCGGAATCGGGCGCGGAGCGGCTCCGGGGCCGCAGCAACAGCAGCAGCTGCCTGGTCAGCCTGCTGGAGCGGCGGCCCCCGTGCCGCCCGCACATCGCTTTCTGCAGCCGATCGGCCAGTGCGACGCAGCGCTGGGCGATCTGCTCAGCGAACTGCAGCGCGACCCATGGCCGGTGCCGCAGGGCAAGCGCTACCTGCGCTCCACGGGCGCCGCTCTGTCCATTGCGGTGGGTTTGCTGGAGTGCACCTACCCGAATACGGGAGGACGCATCATGACGTTCGTGGGTGGCCCTTGCTCCCAGGGCCCCGGCCAGGTGGTCGACGACGAGCTGAAGCACCCGATCCGATCGCATCACGACATCCACAAGGACAACGTTCGGTTTATGAAGAAAGCTATCAAGCACTATGATGCTTTGGCCTTGAGGGCGGCCACCAATGGGCATAGTGTTGACATATACTCGTGTGCCCTGGATCAAACCGGCCTGCTAGAGATGAAGCAGCTGTGCAACTCAACTGGAGGACACATGGTCATGGGTGATTCGTTCAACTCGTCGCTCTTTAAGCAGACATTCCAGCGCGTGTTTGCACGTGACGGTCGCAACGATTTGAAAATGGCCTTCAATGCCACGCTGGAGGTGAAGTGCTCGCGCGAGCTAAAGATCTCCGGTGGGATCGGCTCGTGTGTGTCGCTGAATGTGAAGAGCCCGTCGGTGTCGGATGTGGAGATCGGCATGGGCAACACGGTGCAGTGGAAGCTGTGCACGCTGAACCCCAGCTCCACGGTGGCGTACTTCTTTGAAGTGGTCAACCAGCATGCAGCCCCCATTCCGCAAGGCGGGCGCGGCTGCATACAGTTTATTACGCAGTACCAGCACCCAAGTGGACAGCGGCGAATCCGGGTCACCACACTGGCTAGAAAGTGAGTGGGGAAGCTTTCCTTTTCCTCAATCTTAGACTAAATCTGTCTTCTTGATTTATAGTTGGGCGGATGCCACCTCGAACGTGCACCACATCAGCGCCGGCTTTGACCAGGAGGCTGCCGCCGTGCTGATGGCCCGTATGGTGGTCTATCGTGCGGAGACGGACGAAGGACCTGACATTCTGCGCTGGGTCGATCGTCAGTTAATTCGCCTGGTACGTCAATACATTATTTATGTCTGAAATTATAAAGCACATTAATTTGGTTAATATATTTATTCATATGTTAAAAATAACTTTTTGGCATAATGTTTCGATCTATAGATATGTACTGTAAAAAAATTATGAATGAATTTTTCAACAATTTCAACATTTTATATGACTAATTTCTATTTCAAATTTAACACCACGGCTTAAAACGATAAGCAGTTTGAAATGAAAAATAATACTGATACTTTCTGAATCAATTTTTTAATTAATTACTTATATATTGTCTCCGATTTGCAGTGCCAAAAGTTCGGCGAGTACTCGAAGGACGATCCCAACAGCTTCCGGCTGTCGCAGAACTTTAGCCTGTTCCCGCAATTCATGTACCACCTCCGCCGCTCGCAGTTCCTGCAGGTCTTTAACAACTCGCCTGACGAGACCACATTCTACCGACACATGCTGATGCGCGAGGACCTCACCCAATCGCTCATCATGATTCAGCCAATTCTCTACAGCTACTCCTTCAACGGCCCGCCAGAGCCGGTTCTCCTGGATACGGCTTCAATCCAGGCGGATCGCATTCTGCTGATGGATACCTTCTTCCAGATCCTGATCTATCACGGCGAGACAATCGCCCAGTGGAGAGCCCTCAAATACCAGGACATGCCTGAATACGAAAACTTCAAGCAGCTGCTTCAAGCGCCGGTGGACGATGCCCAGGAAATTCTCCAGACGCGCTTCCCCATGCCCCGCTACATCGACACGGAACACGGTGGATCACAGGCACGCTTCCTGCTCTCCAAGGTCAACCCTTCGCAGACGCACAACAACATGTACGCCTACGGACAGGTGAGTTTCGTAGCCAATGCCTTCGGCTGGCCACATTTGATCGATCTTTGCAGCGCGTTCTTAATCGACATCGAAAACTCAATCAAAATCTCCATCTCGTTTTATGTTGGTTTTGTTTCTTTCATTGTGTAATCCGTATCCGTATCCGTAACCGCTCCTCTGTCATGCGCAGCCGCCTATTGGTCAAGTCACGGTAGTACACTTTTGTTCAACATTCAACACTAGAGTTGGAATAGGTTGATTTTTGCACAATAAATTATGGGGGCTGAATAAAATCTTTGGACAATTTGATGTAGTTTGGTTGAAAACTATATGGCTAAACTAGACTTTCTTTTAAATTCTATCCGTTGGCCTATACAAATTGAAATTGGAAACATATTGGCTATATCTTCCAAATTATATATATGTATATAAGTTATAGTTCTTAAGAATGAAACTGTCCAAAGATATTATTTCTCTTAACATTTGCTTAAGTGTGCCTATTCTATATTTCAGTGTATTTGTAATTTGCTTTTGGTGTTGGACTATTCTCGGTGTTTGTGAGCCTCGCTCATTTCCCTCCACCCCTTTTGCCACGATCCCACCCCCACCCATCGTTTGACTAATTATCTTGCAATTATCTCCACAGGACGGCGGTGCTCCAGTGCTCACAGATGATGTCTCGCTGCAGCTGTTCATGGAGCATCTCAAGAAGCTGGCCGTGTCCACCACTACATAAATTGATTCAGGCCCTTTCTTACCGGATGGCGCTGTCCCGCGAAATCCTGGAGCATTCGGCCCAGGCAATGCAATTACAGATATATATACCCACTTATTCCACTCGATCGTCTGAAAACACAATAAACTATTCAAATTATGTTCAACAATTTATGTGACACTCCGCTTGGCTTTTATTCAGAAGCAGCTTAACACAAAATGCTATAAGAATTTACGTTGAGCGGAATGAGTTTGCTATCGACAAAACAAGGTATTAACAAAAGAAAAACTGTCTCTTCCTTCATAACAAATACTAATACAAGTTTATCCGGAGTGTTTCTGAAACCTCTGAAATTTTTAAAACAATAATTTGGTGTTCTTAAGTAAGTATTCATTAAGAAGTGTTTTATTCTGGCATTTTGCGGTGTTTTTTTTTTTAATATCTATGGATTTAGCAATGATATCTTTATATCTTAAAAATTGTTAAAGCCATTTGCAAAACACTTTGAGACGCTTTTTTCATTATAGGGAAATTTAGTTTAATTATTATAAACACCTTAATTACAGTTTTAAATTTATTAGAGGTTTAAGTAACTCAACGGAATGCCTCTCGACTGACTCCAACCTAAACTATTTGGTACACACTGACTAAGAAGCTCGCTCTTTTTTCGTGATTCTTGACTCCAACTTAGTTGAGAAACCGTATGGACATTTTTTGGTCCACGTCGGTGCGATCCAGAGCCTTGCAGAAGTCCTCGAATGAGATCTTGCCCTGGCAGCAAAGATCTGCCTCCAAGATCGTCCTTTCCGCGATGCTCACCAGTTGGTCCTGGCTTATATTAGCGCCCACCATCATGTGCAAGATGGACAGCAGCTCGTCCCGGCTGATCACACCATCGTCATCCAAATCGTACATCTTGAAGGCGAACTTTAACTTCTCCTCGCGGCTGTTCAGCTTGCTCTGTTTGTTATCCCTTAATGGCCGGAAGTGGGCCAGGACGTTCATGAACTGCCGGAAGTTGACCCGATCGTCGTTGCTCTCTGCAAAGAAGGAGTGAACTATCCGCTCGCAAAGCGGATTAATGGCCAGCTCCGGGATCCTCATCAGATCCTCCCGTGAAAGAGTTCCGCAGTCGTTGCGATCCAACGAGGTGAAGCGCGAGAACAGCCTCTCAATTTGGTTAGGGGTGACTATAAGGGCATGAAACAAATATTTTTTTAATTATAGATTAAATATCAAAAAAAAAAATTTTTTATTATAGATTTTGATGTTGTTAAGTTGCTATATTATTATTTCATTTACGAGCGAACGGATTCCTGATTTATAAATTATTTAATAACATGGCACAGTGCAATTATTTGGCTTTCTTATATTTAATGTTATACCATTACAATTGTTTTTTGCCAGAGTTATAATTTGAAATATGTAATTCATTGTAAATTTTGGTTGGACTTGCCAAATAAAATAGTTTACCTTATAAAATATAAGTTTAAAAAAATTTTTAATGTTGATTCAAAGCTTTCTCAGTTAAAAGCTACATAATACAATTAATAAAAAACGATCCACAACTCTTTATACGATATCTTCAGACAAATTTGTTTGCTATGAAAAAACCTCGAACGAAACATATTTACTGCGTGCCTAAAGTCCTAACACATTCAGAATTAGTTGTTATAAAATCTGGCTGATAAGAGCGAACTCCTTATCAATTTAGCTGATACTAGCTGGTCGAACATTGGATACAAGTTCCAATGCGGTGGCAATTTCAATTGCGGGCTTATCGCGGCCGGAATATTGAAATTACACGGTCTCGGACACTAGATAATTGCCAACCAATATCGTTGATAGGCACCGACTTTTGCCCCCGCCTTCCATAGCCATCGATGACGTCACGAGGGAAGTGCAGGTGCAATTGAATTGCAAATTGGTTTTTGCTGGAAAATGTCTGTGCATATGTACATAGCTTATATAAAGCAGGCACAGATAGTTTTAGATGTAGTTCTGAATAATTTTAAAGAAATTTGTGGAACACATAAGCGTTGTGTTGTTAATGGAATCCGCTCTATTTAAACAATCAATGTTCTTAGCCATTTAGGCCAAATGCTTTTAACACTCCAGTGCGATGTTGTTGTTAGCTTAGCTCGTGGAATATTTATATCGAGATGCGTATATGTTTTTAAAAGGCGGGGTATATGATTTTAAAAGGCGGGTTATATGTCTCGGGGACCAATGACCAAGGTTATCATATCCGACTATATCGTACTCTTACTCACAGCCAGTTTCCTCTTGGATTTGTGCGATCTCCTCGTTACGCAGGAAAAGCGACGACTTATTGCCCATGGTGATGTTGTTTTTGTGCGCTGATCGATTTGTTTAAACTCTTTCAACAATCGCAGACGAACATTGAATGGCATTGAATTTGGATCAGAAGTCCGATTTGTGTACAGTCTGATTGCTGGTGGGACAGCAAAAAAATGTTGAAAATTAAGATGCGAAAAAAATACTAAACGTGTTGGCGATAGTTAGAGATTAGAGATGGACTTTTGCAAAAAATAATACGTTACCATAAATTCTTAATAAATTTCGGAACGCTAAAATAATAGAAAAAATCTGTATATACAAATGATGGGTTAAATGATATGGGAAATGTATAGTAATTTGTCCATTAAGAACGGCTGGACGGCCGCAATAAGTAACTTGTGTCATACAGCTCTCCCATCTCCCATCCCTATTGGCGCTTGCGAAAGAAAAACGTAAACATTTGTTTTACCGAATTTCAATCCTCGTTATGGACAAGTTAAATTCGACCCTAACCGCCGTAAAGAACCTGCGATCTAATGTGAGACAGTGTTTCGAGCACTTGGCCGATGGAACCGATGGCGAGGGCGGAGAGGATAGCCGGAATAAGTTCGTACACGATTTCCAGGAGAGATTTGGAGCAATAAACTCGCAATTACGGTGAGTAAACGGAATAAGTTATTTAAATGTACAAAACTTACGATATATGTAAATCATTTCAAGCGAGGTGGAGCAGCTGATAAATGGACTGCAGGTCCCACCCACCGCCTATTCGCTGGGGAACACGGCTTACCTGGCGCAGGAGACTTCCCAGGACCGGCAGGCGCTTTACCCCCATTTGGTGAGCAGTTACAAGTGGATCGACAAGGTGCACGACCACAGTTTCCTGGCCTTTAACAACCTCAACCAAAACACGCTGAGACGCTCCTACAACTACTGCTCCCAGAAGCGCCAGCGACTGCCCTTCTCCTCCTTCAACAATGATCCTGAGTAAGTGAATGTTATGCTAAATATTCCTAAGTGCATACAAGCCCTTTTTAAGTTAAAGCTTTGAAGCATAAACAGTCAAGTCCCCGAACCTATAAATCACTCTTCGGCATAAATTGGGTCTATATATAGTTTAAATATTTTAATTAACCGTAGAAAGATAGTTATAAGCAAAACTATTTTGACAATAATAGTATTTCTGTTTGCCGGTAAAGGTAATTATTATTGAACGGAGGGGAAGCTAATCTCGGCAAGCTTAAGTTTTTTTTTTACCCTTTTTTAACCCGTTCCTATGGAAGCTATCGTGGTCGACGCATTCCGAAAGAAAACTTTTTTGAAAGTTTCATCGAAACACGGCTAGATCTACTCCCCCGTTTCCTTCACTGCATCACAATCTTGTTACTGAAATTATAATACCCTCTGTTGTATAAAATAATAACCGTTCACTATTTTTCAATTATTTTTAAACAATATTCTGACAATTGGTGGTGTTTTAAGTTTTAATTACTATATAATATAATTACTTTAGCATTTGATTTTAACAAAATCAATATTGAATATATTTATTTTTCTCTCCAGTCACATAGACAAGCTACTAAGTGAGATCAACACCCCGCCGCACACCTCGTACCGAATATTCCGTCCTTTTGGCACAAACGCGGTGGCCATCGTGACCATTAGCAACGTAATGAAGGCGGCCATAGTGTTCAAAGGAGTGCTCATAGAGTGGGTGACCGTAAAGGGATTCGACGAGCCTCTAGAGCATGACGACCTGTGGGCCGAGTCGCGATACGAGGTGTTTCGCAAGGTGCAGGAGCACGCCCACTCCGCAATGCTGCACTTCTTCTCGCCTACGTTGCCCGATTTGGCAGTAAAGAGCTATGTGACTTGGCTGAACAGCCATATTAAACTGTTCCTGGAGCCCTGCAAGCGTTGCGGGAAGTTCGTAGTTCATGGATTGCCTCCAACTTGGCGGGACTTGCGAACTCTCGAGCCCTTCCATGAGGAGTGCCGCAATTGCTGAAGATTTCCAGATATAACACTTCTAGATTTAACTTGTATACTTCATTTATTTCAAAAACAAAAAATTATATGTACTTTGAATGCATGCGGGCGGATTTTGAAAAATCGCCGCGCTCGACTGAATAACTACAACGGTTTAATGCGTTTTTAATGGCCAGCCAGGGCAGTAGTTGCCCGCTTCGATTCCGCAACCTGTGTTTGCACGCCACGCTGCAGGCAGAGTCGCTCGAAGTTGGCGCGTAGCGTAGCGCGGAGCTGCTCCCGCTTGCGCTGCACCTGCTCCCGGTGGCACTTGAAGGCCAAAACTACCTCCTGGGGAATGTAATAGCTCTCCTTGTCTTTGTCGTCGTATTCGTCGAAGTCATCCTGCAATGGGAATTAAAATTGGTTAGTTTAAATACGTCGAACCAAAAAACAAATTTATTATTCAAAAATTAGTTGCCTTTATAAATATAAAAAAAATTAAATGGTTATCGTAATATCTATCTTATATTATGAAAAGCAAAACCTTTTTTTTGTTTTTATATTCAGTATTCAAAATTTACCCATAGTGCACTCTTGCATTTGAAAATGAGATAAAGTCCAATAATTTCCATTCACTGTGACGGTTGGAATGACATATTTTTTTAAATTATTGGACTTAATCCCCACTTAATCTCAAAGATCCCTTTCCCACGACTCACCCACATCTGCAACAATGAAAACTTGTGATTCAACTGCGACTGGTGACCGTAGAACAGAAGGTCCGAGACGTAGCTGTTTCGGGCAGACAAGCCGTCTGAGTCCTCGTCGTGCCCGTCGTGATTACACAGTCCGTCCGAGCAAGACACCTCCGAGCCCTCCGGCGTGTCGGCGTGCGAAGTGGGATCGCTGCCGTAGCCGGAATCGCGCACATCCTGCTCGCACGGGCAGTTGGGCATTGGGGCCAGGCACTCCTCGCACTTATCGCCACCGTCCGTCTTGGCGACGCTCGACGAGATGCAGCTGTCCACGTCCAGGTGATCGTTATCGTCGTCAAGAGGTTGGAGGCTACCCGAGGGCTGCACCTGCTTCCTGTTACCGGACTTCTGGGATGACGGTGGCTTCGGCTTCTTTTTTTTCGCTTGCTTCTTCGGTTTCGATTTCGTTGGCTTGGACGTGGGCTCAGGTTCCGGCTCCGGGTGAGGTGCCTCTATGACAATGCCATCATCCGCACCTGGATCGCTTAATTCCACACGCTGCTCCTGAGTCTCCTCTTCTTCCTGATCCAGCTCCGCCTTCTCCAACTCCTCCTCTTCCTCCTCAGACTCATTGGCCTCTGTATCCTCGCATTGTCGGTGGAGCATATTCTTTTTCTCATCCTTCTTCTTCTTTTTTTTAGCTTCTTCTGCTCGCGCTTGATCTGCTTGGCCCGCTCTGCCCGGCTTATCTCCTGGTAGAGCAGCTCAAGGTTGCTGATTCCCTGTTTCTGCTCCACGAACGTGTCGAAGCTGCGGCAGAGGGCGTGGACACCCACAGCGGCCAGCACCTGGCAGGCGCGCTCCTCCTCCCGCAGACTCACATAGATTCGTCGGAGTCTTTCATACATAATCATGCCCACGCAGGTCAGCACCTCTTCCTGAGCGATCTCCAACGTCTTGGCGTGCCGCTCGCGGAGCTTCGAGTAGCTGCCGTTAACCTCCGGCTCGGCTCGCTTGATCAGTGCGTCCAGGAACTCTATTTTGTTGGTGCTCACGTGAATGTGCTGGTCGGGCACGCACTTGCGGATATGGGCGTACAGCTGGGCCGCGTAACCCTTCTCCTTGGCCGATATCTCGCCAATGAGTATTTTGTAGGCGCGCTCAATCTGTAAAAAACAATGTTATTGTGAAAATTGCACTCAAATTTGTTATACAAATCTTCTTAAAACACCCACTAGCAAAGACACTTTACTGCCGTTGTCACGACTTAAGTTGAATTTGTCTTCAGATTTTAAATGGCCGATCGTTACTTTAAGATTTAAATATTTTTAAATTAAAAGAGAGAAGCAGAAAACTTCGACAGGGTAAAGTTCATATACCCTTGCAGTTTTATTAAAAATTTATCAGATGGCTTAGAACTTAACCCTCGATTTTTATAAAACTTTCAAATCATGTAGCCCGGAAATATTGGACGATAAGCTGAATTTCAGCTCGTTTCAAGAATCAATTTGTGCATTAGTTCGCAAGGGCTAACGATTGCTTTAAAATCACAATAAAACCATCCTCCTTTTTAACATAACTATGATATAGATTTAAAAGTAGTTAGTAAACTGATAAATAGTATGGAGATATGCAGTACAAAACAAGAAAGGAAAGCTAACTTCGGGCGGAGCCGAAGTTGAAATACCCTTGCAGAATATTCTGCAAATTATATTCTCCAAAATTATTCATATGATGCATTCTTAATACTCATAAAAAATCCCAACTTCCTAACTTTAAAAACACCAAAGTTATGGCATTTCCAATCGTTCAGTTATGTATATGGCAGCTATAAAATATATTCGGCCGATCCTTATGAAATTTGATATGTCGGATTGATTGGGCAAAAATAAAACCCATAGAAAATACCAACTTCCTAACTTAACAAACACCAAAGTTATGGCATTTCCGATCAATCAGTTATATAGCAGCTATAGGATATAGTCGGCCGATCCTTATGAAATTTGGTACGTCGGATTGATTGGCCAAATATAATACCCATAGAGAGTCCCAACTTCCTAACTTAACAAACAGCAGAGTTATGGCATTTCCGATCAATCAGTTATATGGCAGCTATAGGATATAGTCGGCCGATCCCGGCCGTTCCGACTTATATACTGCGTGCAAAGGAAAGAAGGGTGTGTGTAAAGTTTCAATTCGATATCATTAAAACTGAGAGACTAGTTCGCGTAGAAACAGACAGACGGACAGACAGACGGACATGCTTATATCAACTCAGGAGGTGATCCTGATCAAGAATATATATACTTTATAGGGTCGGAGATGTCTCCTTCACTGCGTTGCACACTTTTGACCAAAATTATAATACCCTCTGCAAGGGTATAAAAATAAAACCCATAGAAAATCCCAACTTCCTAACTTTACAAACACCAAAGTTATGGCATTTCCGATCAATCAGTTATATGGCAGCTATAGGATATAGTCGGCCG